CGAGACATCGTACAAAGTGAAACATGAAAGTGTTCCATTCAACCTGTTGATCATGTGGGGATATACTGGTATTGTTTGATTGGGCGACGCTGCCACACGATACGGAGGCCGTGAGAAGTTTATTTGTGAATGATAAACGCAAAGAAGTTGTCGGTCTTCTATCAAATCGAATGTTGATCGAAGTTATTCATACACTTTGAAATTCATGAAAATTCATTTGTGAAATCTGTGGATAAACCTTTTTGCCATCTCCTATTAATAATATTAAAATAATATATATGTACATATGTAGGAATGTAGTCCTTATATCATTTATTATTGGTTTCAAATGGGGTACAAGGTGTCTAGAATACTTCGTAGTTTTATACGTATTACAGATGATGCAACATCGGCTCGATTCGAACGATTTCCAGCTCCTCCAGCCCGACTCTCAGTATCGGTATCGATGATCGGTATAGACTAGGGATCATATGTACCTCGTTTGTGGAAGCCCAGCACGTGCGACGAATCCCACAAATCTGATTATCCTACAATAATTAGGGAGTACTTGTTTAATAAATCTTCTTATATTGGTGTAGTAGATCATCTGCTATTCCCATGGCCCATTTTTATGAACCTTTCATTCAGCTTTGATTCAATTAGTATCTCCATCGAAAGGGGCACCTTTCCATAGCATCAACTCCACCAAAGGCAGCTGTTCCATGCACAATAGCTTCTTCACCAAATGGTGACCCACTTCTTGGGAAGAAAACAATCCGGAGACTAGAAACAATTTATTCGCTCTCCCATCTCTTATCTCAAGTGTCTGCACTAACGAGCTTCGAATTTGTTATACACTCTCTGGGCCCGGGCCGGCCCGTCCCGTCCGTCCGTTCGTCCGTTCGTCCGTTGTGGCATGCCCCCCAACTTTACCCGCACGCTTAACCCACCAACGACTGACTGCGACTCTGACTGCACATCAACAACCACAGCTGACCCGTTAAATGTTCCGGTGGCCGTCATCGTGGTTGTTGTTGCTCTGGCGGTTGTCGTCGCCGCCGAGCAGACGGCGTCAATGCCTTATCAAAACTTGGTCTATAACATTAATTTATAGCCAATGCAAACACAAAACACACGTGGACGGACGGACCAGGGAGCCAGGGACCCAGAGACCCAGGCACCAGCCGGACAGCTGGACAGCTGGAGAGTTGGGGTCACTTCAAAGTAAGTCCAATCCCTTCTGGGAGACCTGGTATCCCATCGGTTAGATGGGCCACCATCAAAAATCTCGGTCCCGCAATTAAGCATAAACCGGGGAAAGGGAAACGTTCTCATTTGTGTAAACTCCGATTCATTTTGTTTCGCCTGTTGCTGCTGTTGATGGTGATGTTGAGGAATTTCCACAGATCATTTGTGGCGTCTGTTGGTCAGCCGAAGTTGGTGTTAAAGTCGCTATTGTTTAGCCCACAGCGCAGAACTGTTTGTTTATAAACGAACTCCAGCCACTCCCCCCGTTGGTATTTTGTTTTGGATATTTACGAGTACATGTGGAGTTTTGTGCTTCTTGGCCTTAGTTTTGTTCTGTTCCATTCGGTTTCTATTCTGTTCGGTTGTGTGGTCTATAAAAATATTTTAATGCTCCTCAACTCTAGTTTTATGTGGCGGCGGGAGTGCTTGATTTACAGAGGGACTTCAAAAGGCTTTGTCAGAACCGTTTCAGCCCAGAGATGTATTAAGTTTCGATATCGAGTTACCCAAGGAACAAGAACAATCCACCAATCCAACAGCAGGGCCTATTGTTTGTATTTTAATGAGTTCGGCAATTGTTTTCCCATCAGCCGAATCCTTCCTTTTGTACTGGGCAAGCTTTGATATGTTTTCCGAGGACTCTGGATGGACACTGGGATATGGAGCGAGTTTCTTTCAGTGTGGCGTTTATTTTGCTTGCCAGCTGTCTTCTGCATCCATCATGTGCACTTCCGCTGGGGCGTGCAGGGGGAACCAGGCCGCCAGGTGTTGCTCACTCGACAGATCTATAAAGTGCATTTAAATAAATTATCACAACAAAGGGCTAGGGTCTGGGTCTGGGCCTGGGCCTGGGCAGGCAGGGGAGTACTCAGGTGGTATTCAGGTGAGAGATGAGAGATTTATAAGCGATAAACAAGTCCGAGTTACAAAGGGAACGATACGCGTATATGAGCGGTAGATCATAGTCAAATGCAGCCGCAATTCAATGAAAAATTCTCCCGTCTTGGCACATCATTTCCATTAGTTCCATCATAAATACACGATTTATCTTTTCCCATCGATTCGGCTTATGGGAAGCCTCTTCAAGTTCAAAACTTTTGCTTTTCACGCACTGGCCGAAGCGGCATTTTCGATGGCAATAGAAAAGCGACCATAAAGACCAGAGTTCACTCAACTTTTACGAACTTCACATGTCAATAAAACATTAAAAGCAAATAAAGCTGAATGACAAGCAGGGGTCAGTCAGCAGGGGGACGGACTGTACCGCCGAACATTTTTCCCACAAATCTAAGTTTCCAGAAGCAGCAGTCGCTCTGGCTCTGGCTCTGGCTCTGGCGTTGGGCATTCATTGTGTAATGCAGTTAACAAGAAACAAACAGAAACAAGGCAATGCGAAGCGAAGCGAGCTGAGGGAAAATCAATGAAGAGTGCACTCTTCCCAAACACTCTACAAACGGCAGCGAACAGCAAACAGCCGCTGGCCATATGTACATACATACATACATACCTATGTATGGCCATGACTTATGGCTGCCAGTGTAAAGAATGTATCCACAAGATGCTTAATGAGCTGATAAAGTGTGTGTCTGCGGTATCCATCTGTGTGCCTGATTGGCATGGCTTAATGGACAGCACAACACCCGAACTGTTCGGAGCAGGGCGGAAATGCAGCGTGGGTCAATCGTCGCTCGCATCTTTTGTATCTCTGAATTGGTTGTTCGAGTATCCGTATCTGTGGCGACCCATTTCGCCATGGGGAAACTTTCGTTTTCTCTAATCCAACTCCAAGCGAAACGGTACGGAACGGACCGAAGCGGAGCGGGCCAAGCCAATCAATCAATCAATTAATGCCAATAAGTAGTCTCGTTTGGGCGTTATAACTGCGTTTCATCGCAGCTCGAAATAATCGTCAATAATTTGCTCTATCGATTCGCATTCATGTCTTCAAGGCTTAAACGTTGAAAAGTGTACCATTGAATCGACTTACCATTTAATGATTTGGAATTGATTTGCAATCATTATCGAATCGGAAATCAATCGGAATTGATCACTCACTAAAAAGTTGCCCCGATGTGGCGGTTTTAGCCACTTGATAAACACTTTTCCAGGAGTTGAGTGAGCTTGTGGGAATGTGAATGTGTAATACCTGAGTTTGTAGCTGCGTGGACTTTGGAATGCCTGAGAAGACCATTCTGATGTGCTTTGAGTTCTTCAACTCTTTCTCACATAATATTAGCTCTTATCTTTCTGGGCTAATCATCGGCCACGTCGGTATTAGCCACACTCTGGCATTGAGGAGCGATTATCATAATAACCCAACAATGAAATTTCTCCAAATATTTCGACACGCAACCTGGAAGCTCCCTACTTTTATTGGTAAGAATACCAGCATTCAAGCCAGAGCAAATTTTCGGTTTCCAAAACAAATTTTTATGACAAAAGTTTTCCGCCGCAGACACGATAAGCCACTTAGGTTTTATAACCATTTAATGGCATTCGTCGGGAAGAGAAGATATTTTAATAAACCCTTTTTCCTTTCTGGCCATGCCATGTGTGTGGGTTATGGTCGATGATCCCTCCCACCGCCGCTCCGGCAGAGAGGGGCCCGAAAACATATGTTCCTATTAGCGCGTGAGGCTTTCCCGAATGCGATACGCATGCCTCCATCAATTATCCTCTCTAGAGACTCTAGAGACGACCTACCTAACAATTGTCCATTGTTGCTGCTGCCGTTGCCTCTCAGACTCCCGACCACAATTACGGCGACAACAACTGTGGTCCCTGGCGCTATTGTTGTCCTCAATCTGTTCTTTCACTCCTCCCTCCTGCAGCACGGGGTCATGTGTGCTGGCTGGAAGTGCTCAAACCCGCACAGGCCCGTCTCTCAGACATTCTCCAAGGGCTGCATAGAACATCTAAACGTCAGAGTACACATTTTGTACATGTACTCGTGTGTTTCTAGAGTGTTCCTCTATTCATCTTTGCGGATCGCTTTTGTTCCATGCCTGGAATTACCATGTTGTTCGATTCAATTGCCGTACCAATTGTTGTACGGAGGTAAGACTGTAAATTGTTTTGACTGCTGTCTGAATCTGTTTGGATTTTGAACCGCTTTAATGGGATGGGGCACTGGGTTAGCTTGCGGTGATCCAATCCAAAGATGAGCAGGAGAAAAAACTCTACGAAACGTCTTCCTTAGACCACGACTGTTTCATATTCCCCTCAAACGGTTACAGAGTTCACAGTGCCAAAGCCAGAGATCGATCAGTCTCCCTCCAGTTGTTGGCCAGGCCAGGCCAGGCCAGAGCGAGCATTTCATATTCCGCCTAATAGGCAAAGTTCACATAACACAAAGAAAAGCTCCTCCATTCCATGGAGCTGCTGCGGACAGCATAGGCAACGGCAAAGGCAACACAGGGCCGGGGCAGCTAACAAGCCAAGACCAAGGCGACGACGACGACGACGACGACGACGACAACTACGACATTGCTGGACCATAACTGGACCTCTCACGTAATAACGTATAGAATTACAAAAAAATATAAAGAAAGACAAAAAGCAAAAAATTAAAGAATCTCTTCCTCCTGTCACAACTTTCACATGAAAGTTCTTTCAACTTGAGCGACCAAATATGGAGCTGAGACACGCTGCACACGACCAGATCAGAGATCGGAGATCGGAGACCGGAGACCAGGAAGCCAAACGCGAGCAACTCGAGCAAATCGATCAGAGAACCATATTTAGAAGACTTGACCATAGTTATAGGCACTTACCATTGGCATTCGGCCTGCCGGTTCCCCCTGGTCTCTGCAATCGCCCGTTGCGGCGACGCTGCGATGATTTTTTCTTGGCGAGGGACTCCGACGAGTATGGGGATGATGAAGTCACCGTTGAAGTTGACTCCTCCTCCGAAATGTTACTTTCTATGAGGAGGCCACTCTTGGTTTTCCGCCGCCGCATTGATTGCGTCGACTGCGTCGATTGCTTCTTCTGGCTCTTCTGCTGGATGCGCGCTCCTGTCCAGGAGACAATGCTCTGCGACAGCTCCTGGGAGCTATCGTTGAGAGCTGGCAGGTCGTATTCCTTGAGCATTTGGGCTGGGGACAGGCCGTGTAATCGCTTGCCCTTACGCTTGGCCTGGCAGTCGATGGCAAACAGGACCAGGAGCAGGACCAGGCCCAGGTACCCCCGGATGAGTAGCTGTCTGATTTGCATGTTAAATATTTTGAAGGCACTAACTAGCAACACATTTCCCACTTTCGACTTTGAACTTGGAACTTGGAACTATTTTCAATTATTAGATTTTTTCCTTCTGCCACAGAAAGCCTATTCAGCCTCAAGCTTCACATTGCTTGATATTTTCATTCATAATCTGATTAATACTCGTATGCACCACACAGATTGTAGTTTTTTTTTGCTGTATTATTTGCTTGCAGCTCATTTACGATTTCCGCTTGAATTTTTTATTTCGATTTGCACATTTCTTGCACATTTGCTCTTGCGAATTTCTCACTTTTATTTTGCTGCAACTTCTCTACTCGAACATTTTTGCGCTATTTAATTTTATTTTGGCTTCAGACACATTTACACTTTCCCGCTCGGCGACAGGCACAAATTTCTTCTGCAGCTATTTCGGTATCCTCCTCGATGTGCGGCGGAAAGAACCGAAACGAGACGAAACTCAACAGCAGAAGCAGAAGCAGAAGCAGCAGCAGCACTTTCGATCTTGTTGCAGGCCCTCGGCAATTGCATAAATTGCTTTTGCATTCATTACTTTATGATTATTTGCAGTGGCTTATCGCTTAATTTCCATTTAACTTTATTGCACTCTCATTTATCGCACTACAGCACTACAGCACTTCTCGAAGGCACTATCATCTAGAATTCACCCATCACAACCGGAACGGAACGGAACCATAGGCGGCGCGTGTCTCTCCGTCCTACGCAAACGACCGTCAAATTCGAAATGCGAACTGGTGCCGTTCGTTCATTCGAACGCTTGCACTTCGGGCCGAACGAAACGAGCGGTCGCTCGTCTCTGCGCGAGTGTGTGTGTGTGTCGACACGATCCCATTCGGGAAGTTGCACTCAAAACGAACTGTACTGGAGACTGGAGACTGGAGAAAAGCCGACGAAACAGACGACGACGTATGGGCATACCACGGAGTAGGTAAATGCTGATTATATTGATAGTCCTTTGCCACTTTATTGCACGATCGCAGAGGACTTTTAGCTCTATTTCTGTGATTGGTTACTTTAGTTATTGCTTAGAAAAATACTATCGCACAGACCAACAGGTGTTGAGAAATCTTACACTTCTGATCATAATTGGGAATTTCATTGATCTTTCCGTTGAAGTGTTATATTGTGATATTCTGTTAACTGAAAAAGGAAACAGATACCTTGGAAATCCAAAGTAAGTATACAAGTGCTACGGATGCCTTTCTGTTCATGTAGACAGTCCAATCAATACAACGCAACAGCTCAGGATAAGAATATACTTAATGGATTGTTATGGTAAAAGTATTATGTTATACTAGAAACACCTTATGATAATAAGAAAGTTTTTCAATTCCATTGGAATACGTTACCAAAATGATTTAAATAAATCTCTCTCTTATTTTAAGATTCTTTGTTTTTTCAATGCCTGCTTTTTCAGCCAGAAACATTCTAAACTGACTTACGATCCATCGATAGTTTCGTTCTCTTTCGATGTCGGCACACTCTCTTTGGTCAGTGCCAGTTCTCTTTAGTTCTGGTCTTTCAATGTTTACCTGTTTCTTCGAGAAACGATGACCAATTCGCTTGAATTTACCCGGGGTATCGGCTAACTAGGGAACAAATCCGGCACTCAACCGTGGGGAAACTCCCGGTGCGTTAAAGAAAATATTTGTGGTCCTTGAAGCCCTTGTCTTTGTTGTCGGCTCCTTGTTTTCTTTCCCTGCCTTCGTCACTTCTTGTACAATGTATTGTTTGTCAGGCAATTCGATTTGACAGTTTGGCGGAGGTTGAGGGTCTGAACGGCCTGCTGCTGCTTCTTCTGCTCCGTCGACTCTAAATGTCCTACGGCCATTTATGATTATCCTTGCGGTGATTTTGTTGTTTCCCTCGGCGAAGCAGCAGGTGAAGAGCCAGGCCCTGAAGGTGCGCATCGAATTGTGGTACTTAACGCCGGCTCGAACGCTCTCGTATCTGAAAGATACAAATGCCGGCTGCACTCATGCGAGAGCTCATCCTTCGCCGTTTTACGGTGGCGCACGTTTCATGTTGCCCGCGGCTATTTGCAGCCCAATCGTGTGGCACTTACATAAATACCTCGTTGCTCCTAATAAGTTTGCGTTCCATCCGATGTCGAACGTACGACTATCTGCAAGTGAGCAGAGCGGAGCGGAGCAAAGCGGAGCAGAGCAGAGCAGAGGCCCTTTTGTATCTGATGCAATTTGTTGTTGCCGCTGCCGCTGCTGCTGCACTTCGGCACAAAGGGCATTTGTCGAAGCGTGAAACAGCAGTTTCACGAGCCCGCTAAAAGAGCTGCAATTGCCGGGGATTGGGATCGGCATCGGCAAGCCCAATCCCTTGGCATCCATCCCATGACAAGGATTGAACTAACCTGCGCCCACTCCACCTCCTCCCTCCCGCACTTATCCATTGTCGTTGCGCCGTTTAAATTGGTTCGTTTACCAAAAACGAGAACCAAACCCAAGGCGGCATCAACATGAAACGAGCTCGAACGCGATTGGAGAGAACGAAAAAGGTCTCTCCTCTCAGTGTGTACGGGTTTCTGGAGGCTGTGCGCACTGCGCATGCCCAGCGCTGGTTTAAGTGCCCGACGTACTTGAGGATAACGATGTGTACGCAGAGGATAACCATGTCCATGACGGGGATGATGATGTTGCTGTTGCCGTTGCTGAAGCTGTTGCCGTGGATGAGGCTGCTGATTTCGGCGTGATTTATGCATCTTAATTGAAATGATGGCTTACAAATTGTTTGGCGCAAGTGCGCAACAGGAAGAGAGGCGGGAACGAAGCCACCGAAAGAGACGGTGAGAGGACACTTTTGGCCTTGGGATGCCAATGGAAGGAATGAAAGGGATGTCTTAGGCTAAGAATGCGTCATTGAAAAGTGGAACAGGACTTCCTGCCGTCAGTTCCACTGAAATTGGTCTTTAAGTATTGGAATGTCATTAGAGAGATTGAAAAACAATCTGTTTAACCCAGGGAGGACTGGTTTTCTTGATCCTCCTTCTCGAATGGGTTACCTTGAATGCAAAATCACCACAAAATCACATTACCTTGAATGATAATTGAAAATGAAATGAGAGCTTAGCGAATTAATAACATCCTTGCCCTTCACATCACAAAATCTGTTCTACTCTGCCTGCTAACGTACATCTGTTATATATTTATTTTAATTCTCATTATTAGTTAATTCATTTGGCTGCAGTTTAACTCTTTCTAGGGAAAATGTCGAATACCGTGAAAACTACAATTACCAGGGATATTACCGAGTAATTGTTTTTCAATGGATGACCCACCCATCCATTCGCCACACGACCCACTGAGAGCTGCACGACCATTACCCGTTGCTGCCGGTTGCCGGCATACCATTCACTGGATACAAATCGCATTCCCCAACCTTTCACACACTGCTAAAACAGAACCAAGCCCACACACATTTGTACATACATATATTCAATTTTCTAATAGCCGCCTCCTAATCAAAACTAAGGCATCGAAACTTTATCCCAATCGTTCTCTCTATATCTTTCCTGTTGCTGTTGCTGTTTCTGTTTCCTTTTCTATTTCTGTGTGACTCGGGCAGCTCGAGGCGCAAAACCAATTAAGCAGAGAGCTGAAAACAAACACACATTGAGCCAGGCTGGGCCCGGCCAGGCCAGAAAGAGCTGGAAACAAATAAGGAAGTATTCATGAGGATCATCGTCTGCGATCTCTGCTCCTTGCGCCAGTAGCCAGTAGCCAGTAGCCAATAGCCACACTGTGGAAAACCAAATAAAATCAAATGAAATTTACCGCCAATGCCAAAAGCCCGAAGAGAGTCGCAGTCCAAGTTGGGGAAGCGCCAAAACGTTAAATACAATTCATGGCGCTCACGAGCGGAATTTAAATTATGCCCAATTAGAGCTAGGTGCTTGCTCTGTCTCTGACTCTCAATCGGACTGGGCTCTGTCGCTGGCTCTGGCTTTGGCAGTAGCTGTAGCTGTGGCTTTTCCGCCTCGACTAGGCCTGGTTCGAGCTATTCCTGTGGGGCATTTGTGCGACTCCGAGTGGAGATAGACAGACGAACAGGCGGACGCACGGCCGTACAGACGCGCAGACGGACGGGTGGGCGTGTCATGTGTGGGGCATGTTCGTGTGGTAAAGCGCCAAATTGATTTCGATCGCCCAGGGGGCCCAGGGGGTCTTCTCCCATCCCAGCCCCAGCCCCCTCCTAATGTTTGTTTCTAGTAGTTGCCACCACACTGTTCCCCGTTTGTTAACTCTCACATGTCCCTCGGATTGTTCATGTTTTTGATGGATTATGCGTTGACAGGCTTCGGGAGTTTTGTAGAGCGCCACTGATTGTCTTTCCTCCTCCTCCCCAAAATATGTGTCTGTCTGCCTGCCTGCCTGGGACTGCCTTGGGAACTGGTCTTGTTATGTAAATTGCCGACGAGTTTCGGTCCCAGTATCGGTCTCGTGGGTGAAGTGTTGTCCAAGTGCTAACAAGGCAAGTCAAGTACGATCAAGACCATAAGCTAGTGTTGTTAAATGGAAATGCCTGGCAGTATTTTTGGTGGATTTACCATGAAAATTAATGGTTACAGCGTGGGAACAGATCCTTTGAGTGGGTGAATACTTTTTGCTTCGAGGATGATGCATCTATTAGTCATAAAATCACACGTTTGTGGCAGTTTCATAAAGAATAAAGATCTAAATGTTATTTGAAATGAAATGAATGTGTGCTTTCAGATATCGAATACGTTTGCTTCACTTATCCATATTGAAATTTCCCACCTGAAGATAGGTTTTTCCACTTGGAATTGGATTGCCTAATTAAATTACCTTGAGTGACGCCCCTGGCTCTGATTTTCCGATTGTAGACCTTCTGCCCGCTCTGTCCATGGTTTCCCGAAAACACCTGGAAACCAGAAAACGAACCCACAATTATAACTTAATTTTACAACATTTTTCAAGTGGCGCAGTCAAATTAATTTC